ATTGTACTGAATGCTTTGGGATAGAGTTGGAAAAAGTAATTTTAGAGAATATGTCTCAGTGAATATAAAGCATTGTCTGATGATGTTCTAAGTTATGAGATTCTGATCTTCTTTATTGTGTAGAGAGATTCTGTAAAATCATAAATGATGTCTGGATGACCTGAGTTCTCTGGTTACCACTGGAACAAGGTTAGGAAATCCATCTCAAACATTGGCTCCTCATTCTAGTTTTATTTTATCCCATGTATTTTTATGTGGATTGATTTTCCTTTGTACCAGGCTTAATATCTATCTGGTTCTCTCATATTAATAAAATGCCTTCTTTAACATACTCATGTCTATATCTCTAGAAGGGCAAAGATTTCACATTTTGTGTATATTGTATTTCAACATTATTTTGGTGTAGTGGTATGAACCAAAGACTTATTCAGATAGATTTTATGGAAATGGGGATCAAAACGCTGATTGTTTTCAAGAAAATATTATTTTTATTATTATGTATGAAATCACAACACAATTTAACAAACATTTTTTTTAAATACTGTGGTAAACCATGTCCCTCCCTTAAGAGGAGAAAACTGTCCCAAGGGCCAAGTGAGCCGTAGATCTGCAGGGGCCGAAAGCAAGCCATCGTGTCAGAACTGAAGCTGGACACAGTTTCATGAGGGTGTCACCTATGAAGAGGCAAAGTGTCCATGGAAAACCTGCATTTTCTTTAAAATGAAGATGTATGGATTACTTCTCTGTCCTAGGTCTAGTTTAGGTGAGGCAAAATAAAAGATGGAGAAAAGAAGGACACACCCCTTGTTTGTTTGAAGTGCAGGAGAAAGGTGGGTGTGGAACGAACAGGCTTAATTGGCTCAAGGAGCTGTGGTGTGAGCCAAGGTCCATTTTATTTGTAGTCTCTCTTAGGAGACTGAACCGTCCTGCTCATCAGATCTCATATTATTCCAATGTGGAACGGTTCATACAATAGCCTCTTTATTTCTTTGTGTACTTGAGCTATGGCGGTGCCTCTTGATTCCCACGGTGAAAGCCCAAAAGTGATTCTTTGCTGTAGTGCATACATAGAGATAATACAATGTTAAAATCTGGAGATACATCCTCTCCTTAATTCCCAGCTCATAGAATTACCACACAGTAAAGACATTTGCTAGAGTTTTTGTTTTATGAGACATTAAGCTTGTACTTGAATATAAATATTAGGCAACATTTCAGAAACTATTTTAAAAGTAAACTCAATTTTTTCCAGTTCTAATTTTATATAAGTCTGCCCGAACAAATCTATTTAGGTGGTCTTTTACTCAAACTCAGACTATGAAAAATGTCATTTGATAGAAGCTCACCCATATTTTACCCATCTGATTATAGCTGAGATGCCTTACCTAAAAGTAAAAGAGTCACTGAAATCTAAATACCTTGTGCTCTGGTTTCATCAAGAAAACATACACATATAGCACAAAAAGGATTCAGTGGTGCATGTGTGTGTGTGTGTTTAAGAAATAATAATAAAATAAAAAGAGACCAGAGGCAATGAATTTGAAAGGAAATTGTGACAGAGACATTGAAGTAGTTGGGGGGAAGAAAAAGAAATTGCATAATTATATTTTTTTAAAATAAAAAAGACAGTAGACTAGGCTAAGCATTGTGGTTCTTGCACATTCTAGCATGTAGACAATAGGAATAAGATCAGAAGGTCAAGGACAGCCTCAGCTACATAGAATGTTTGAGGCTAGCCTGGGCTATGCGAATTCTTTCCCCAGCAAACCCATCCAAACCAAATCTGAAATAGTAGCATTCTCAAAGGAAGAAATCTTAGTCTACACTTCAGTCCCTTGCACATATCATGTAGTCCTCCAACCCTCCTGGCTAGGCTATTCCCCTAGCCTCCATTGAAGGAACAAGCAATAAGCAAAGGCCCTTTGGGGACATGTAGACCTCCTCAAACCTGCATGTTTGATGTATTTTACAACCCATCTTCTATTTGCCACTTTCTCTCGCTCTAGAAGTGCCAGGAAGACATACCATCTGCAGAATGATTAGCCGTTCTGGTCTACTAGAGAACAGCCATTCTCAACCTGTGGCTCATGACCCACAAAGGCTATCCAAAAAACAAAGATACTTACACTACAATTCAGAATACTATCAAAATTTCAGTGATGAAGTAGCAATGCAAATAATTGCATTTACTTGGGGGTGTCATCATAACACGAGGAACTGTATTAAAGGGTCAAAGCATAAGGAAGATTGAGAGTCACTGTTTTAGAATGAACATAGATAAGGTAGGAAGCAGGAGGCACTGGCTGCCTCCCCGTCACATGCATATAAGTAGAAAAACAGCCTTAGCATTTTAAAGTCTAGTTTCTTGAGTTCTTTATATATTTTGGAGATCAGACCTTTGTCTGTTGCGGGGTTGGTGAAGATTTTCTCCCAGTCAGTAGGTTGCCTTTTTGTCTTAGTGACAGTGTCCTTTGCTTTACAGAAGCGTCTCAGTTTCAGTAGGTCCCATTTATTCAATGTTGCCCTTAATGTCTGTGCCGCTGGGGTTATACATAGGAAGTGATGTCCTGTGCCCATCTGATGTAGGGTACTTCCCACTTTTTCTTCTATCAGGTTCAGTGTGTTTAGATTGATATTGAGGTCTTTGATCCATTTGGACTTGAGTTTTGTGCATGGTGATAGATATGGGTCTATTTTCGTTCTTCTACAGGTTGACGTCCAGTTGTGCCAGCACCATTTGTTGAAGATGCTTTCTTTCTTCCATTGTATACTTTTAGCTCCTTTATCGAAAATGAGGTGTTCATAGGAAATAAGGGCTGATGAGAAGCCAAGGACAATGGCACGGGGTTTTGATCCTACTTCATGTTCTGGCTTTGTGGGAGCCTAACCAGTTTGGATGTTCACCTTCCTAGACCTGGATGGAGGGGGGAGGACCTTGGATTTTCCACGGGGCAGGGAACCCTGACTGCTCTTCGGACTGGAGAGGGAGGAGGAGAAAAGTGGGGGGGGGGGGGGGGGGGGGGGGGGGGGGGGGGGGGGGGGGGGGGGGGGGGGGAAAGGGGGGGGGGGGGGGGGGGGGGAAGGGGGGGGCGGGGAGGGGGGGGAATTTTTTTTAATTTTTTTTTCTATTCAAAAAAAAAAAAAAAAAACCAGCCTTCAGGAACAGAATTCAATTCCTCAATCTACCTTCCCCATCTATAGGTTCTAGAATACCATTGCTCAAGAGCAACTATGCTGGTTGATTGGCTGGGGAGTCTTGGTTTTGTTCTGCTTTCTGCGTTTGTTTTTTTTTTCTTTCTTAGACTCCAAGCCAACCCACCAGATGTTGAAATGTGGATCTCTACCACCACCTGCTGGGCAATAGCATATAGTGCCGCCAAATAATAAAGGGGAAGAAAAAGCCCAGTTGTTTTCTATCAGCTTTATCTCCTTGCTAATCCGCCACTCACTTTCTTTCTTTCACTTTCCCTTGATAGCCATGCTGGCTCTCCACGTAATTGTTATCTTTTTTTTCTTTTTAACTTGTAATTTGTTTTGAAAGAGAGTTGATAATTTAAAACAAAAACGGTAAGGATCATTAAACAGAAAGGAAAATGAACATAAGTTACTTGAGGAATAATGAGCAGGATGAATGAATGGAAAGGAAGAAAAATGTACACCATCAATTTAAGGCTAGATAGTGCCTGTGTTTGAACATTAAATTTAGCTCCAAGCTTCCTGGCAGGCACGTGAAAAAAGGAAACAGGATGGGTTTCATGGCTCTTGTCCGATAACGAACCTTATCAGTTTTTCAGTAGAGAAAAATCCAGAAAATCCTTGGGTTATAAAGGAGCTGAATTCATACACAAGGAATGTACTTTCTCTCATCTCCTGCGTACATTATTAAAGTTTTCACTGTTGCTGCCTTCACTGCTGTTGTCTTATACACAGCCCTGTAAAACATCACATTGGCAGGAACTTTGCCTGTCTAAATCCATCCTAAGTGAGCTGCACCCAGTTCTAAAATACACATTAATGATGGCTGGAGAGATGTCTCAGTCAGTAGCATGCTTTCTGAACAAACATAAAGAAAGAAGTTATTCCCAATGCCCAAGTGATGTGGGATGTCCTTCCGTGTTGTCTTTACTGTTTGACAAATAAAGCTATTTTGGCCAATGGCTTAGTAGAGTAAAGCCAGGCAGGAAAGCCGAATAGAGATATAGAGAAAGAGTAGGCAGAGTCAAGGATACACCACATAGCCACTGAAGAAGAAAAATGTCAGAACATTGCCAGTAAGCCACAGTTTTGTGGTGTTACATAAACTAATAGAAGTGGGTTAATTTTAAATGTAAGAGCTAGCTAGGAATATGCCGGAGCCATTGGCCAAACAGTGTTGTAATTAATATAGTTTCTGCGTAATTATTTGGGTCTGGGTGGCCAGAAAACTAAAACACAGTCACTGTCTACATTCAAGAAAAATTGGGTGCAACTCTACACACCTGGAACCCTAGCACTAAGGAGACAGAGAGAAGAGGATGCCTTGGGCTTCCTGACCAGTCAGCATGCTGGATCAATGAAGTCCAGGTCCAGTGAGAGATCCTGGCTGAAAACATAAGGTTGACAGAACTTGAGAAAGATATCCAACACTTGACCTTTGGCCTCTACACACACTCTCATAGACACACAGACACACAAACATGCACGTATGCATGCGTGCACACACACATACACATACTTGAAATACTTGAATACATATATACTCATACACATAACAAAATCAGAGAAATTTGAGAAATACTTTTATGGCCTATGAAGAGGTTACTGATAGACTAAAAGCAAACAAATTACCCAATGACAGACCCAAGTCCATTTTTCTATCATATGTCTTTATTATAAAATGATAACTGGGGGATAATTGAAATAACTTATAGTTACATGATTTCACAACCAATGTTAATGATTAATATCCACAAACCTATAGATTAGAGATTCTATTAAATAGTTATGTGATTGTCCTCATCCTCTTACTTTAAGGAGTTAACACTGAAAACAGGTGATGACAGGAATTTCATGAGGATGGAGTGGTGTGTGACATGTCAGGCGGTGGCAGAGTATATTCAGGAAGCAAACAGAAAATGCGAATTCTCTATTGTTGCTATTGTTGATTGTTACAATATTGCAGAAGGCAAGACTGGCCCTATTCATTTCTGTAGCCTTGTACTAAACAGTAGATTTGTAGATTTTCTTCAGTGTTTCTTGGTACATAACAGAAAATTAATTATGAATGATAGAGTATAGTAGAAAAGTATAGCAATATGAAAACCGCAGTACTGACTAGTCATGTTGTAGATTTTTTTTACGTAGTTGAAAGAGGTTCAGAATTATGATCATTCACTCGCAATTTTAATATGATGTTTCCTTGTTAACTTATGTACCATTCACTAGAACTTAAGTTTCTAAGAGGGTATTATATTCTCTCTAATTTCTTTTGAGTCTATCCTCATTTGCATTCTTCTTACTTCATAAATGAAGTTTGAAGTGATACAGTTCAGCATTTGTATGGGCTGCCATTCTATTTCTGTCCAGCTGAAAAAAAAAAAAGGATATTAACCTTTATCAGGCGATGAAAGGAGACAGAGACAGAGACCCACATTGGAGCACTGGACTGAAATCTCAAGGTCCAAATCAGGAGCACCAGGAGAGAGAGAGAACGAGCAAGGAACTCAGGACCGCGAGGGGGGCACCCACACACTGAGACAATGGGGATGTCCTATCGGGAACTCACCAAGGCCAGCTGGCCTGGGTCTGAAAAAGCCTGGGTTAAAACCGGTCTCGCTGAACATAGCGGACAATGAGGACTACTGAGACCCCAAGAACAATGGCAATGGGTTTTTGATCCTACTGCACCTATTGGTTTTGTGGGAGCCTAGGCAGTTTGGATGCTCACCTTACTAGACCTGGATGGAGGTGGGTGGTCCTTGGACTTTCCACAGGGCAGGGAACCCTGATTTCTCTTTGGGCTGACGAGGGAGGGGGACTTGATTGGGGGAGGGGGAGGGAAAGGGGAGGCGGCGGTGGGGAAGAGACAGAAATCTTTAATTAATTAATTAATTAATAAAAAAAGGAGCAAGATGATTGAGATGCAGTTATCAGAAGGTATCCAGCCAACCCATATCAATAGCTTGGGAGGCCTGCTCTGCAAGACAATCTTCCCAAGTTCAGGTCAGAAACCCCAGAGCAGCGAAAGGGAACCTAGGCTAGCTCTAATCTGAGGGAAAAGGCTTATTTGTGTGCTGTTCCAATCATTCTCCTTATCGTTCTGCTTCTGTTCTAGTTCTCCTGTCCTAATTCTAACTCCCCCTAGCTTCTACTCCTGTAGCCTAAAAATCCTCCTTTACAAACAAGGCTTGGAGTGATAAAAATAAATTACACAAATTAGCTCTCATTGGTCAAAAGCTCATTCCTAGGGTAAACAATAAGGAACTAGGCCATTTACCATGGCAACACAAGGTTTCAAGGTTTCAGGAGTAAGGCTGTGATTAGAGCCCAGTGGCTCAGTGTCCATAGGACTTTATCAGCTAGATTTGGCAAAGAATTGGCATGCCTTTCCCAGGGTGCTTTGTGTAGCAACCATTTTTGGACATCTGTGTCTCTGACCTTGGGCATAGCTGTAAAGTTTTAAACTTATGATCTACTTACATAAAACCTTTAGTCTAGTTTGGTTTGTGTGTGTGTGTGTGTTTTGTTTCTTTTTAATTTTTTTCTATTTTTTATTAATTATTTATTAAAGATTTCTGCCTCCTCCCTGCCACCGACTCCCATTTCCCTCCCCCTCCCCCGTTCAAGTCCCCCTCCCTCGTCAGCCCAAAGAGCAATCAGGGTTTCCTGCCCTGTGGGAAGTCCAAGGACCACCCACCTCCATCCAGGTCTAGTAAGGTGAGCATCCAAACTGCCTAGGCTCCCACAAAGCCTAGTTTGAACTTGCCCTGAAATAAAAGTGAATTAATTGTGTGCAGTTAGTCTGAGCAAAAGGAGAAAAGCAGGTTTTTAAGTGTCTACAGTCCTCATGGGAGGCCTAGTTAACTAATAGATCTAGTTATGAAACATATCCTAGCATATTTTCTATATATCAAAATTATACAGACTAATGAGAAGCCATCTTCCTGATCATCCACAGCTATATGTGTTCCCAGTAGAAGGAATATTTTCTTGAGATAAATACACAAGCAGTGGGAAAACACCCAAATTGGGGAAGAAATGAAGTGACTCATGAGAGAAATTACGAACAGGGACAAACATTTATCTACAGCCAGTGACCCTACAGATGTTCCAAGTAGGGCTCCCCATCAGAGACTCTCTCGTCTGGAGGGTCAGCCTGTTGAAAACTAGTTGTCACCTGCTGTATATTCCCATGGCCTCTGACAAACCCACATCCAGTGAAGTACAAAGCTCAGGAGAAAGGAAAAAAGTTTTTCTCAGTATGTAACAGTCACAGGAAGGGTTTAGGCGGAGGGTCTGAAGGAGAAGGCAGACACGGCTTCCAGATTCTACAGCTTCTCCAGAAGGAAACAAGGAAGGCTGCAGCAAGAGCAGAGAAGCATCTGTGTTCTTTTATAGGTGATGGTGGATGTTCACAGATTACTGTGTGAATCACAGACCTGGGTGCAGCGCTCAATGCCTGTCTGTACTCTAAGCACACGAGCTTCAGGCAAGGGGCTGGAGATTGAAACACAAAGACACGCAGACAGAGAGACAGAGAAATGGACCTCTAGTCACTGGTAAGAAGCCCTTCATTCAAAAGCACCACAGAGGCTTATATACCCAACACACTCAGGTGGCCCAACAGGTGAAAGCCTTATCCTCTGATCCTCAAGGCAAGGCAACATGTGCTCAGGAAGCAGAGCCGGCAAACAACTTTGACACAGCTTTCAGTAGCTCAAATCAGAAGGAAAGCAAAGGTCACTAGCAGGGAAGAGCAGCTGGAGGCCAAGACTCCAAATGGCCCCAACACCTGGGTAAGTCTAAAAGTTCAAAGCCGTTTAGCTTGAAAGACTCTAGAAGAGGTCCTTCTCTTGGGAGGAGACCTCCCCAACTCCAAGGAACAGGCCGAGACCACACGGATGCAAATCGCAAGAGGTTTATTGGGTAGACACAGGTACCTGAGGGCAGCAAAGTCTTTCGGAGGACTTGCGTGCCTGCCAACTGGAGGGCGGACTTTTTATAGGGAAGAGCAAAAAGCAAGTTTACAGAAGCAAAAGTGTGGTTATCGGAATGAGGCGGGGGCATGAATGGTTTCCTCTCTCAGCATGGGTGTCAGCAAAAGTCATCCTGTTCCTATCTTATAGATATCCTGTTTTGCAGTCAACCTGCTTTGTTGATGTCCTATCTTATTGATATCCTGCCTTGCAGTCTTCCTAGCTCATCCTGCTCTCTCAAGCACATGGGATGTTCTTACGAGAGCAGGCTGGCTGCTGATCCGGAGAATTTTTTTTTTTTTTAAGCAAACAGG